CCCGGAAACTGACATATTAGGCGTTCAAAGGATTATTTAAACGATTTTATAGTAAAATAATATGTAAATGGGGCCCCCCCCCCCTCTGCACTGGCGCCACCCCTTGTATTATAGTCAATGAGTTAGCGTATTAATTGTGAATGCTGCTGGCTTTACAGAAGCTGGGTCATACGTTGCGTAAGAGAAGTGTCGGCATCGAAACAGCACCTGATAACGAGGAGAGCTCAGCGACATCATGTAAGTAAGATCTGATTATTACAAACCTATTATCAATTCACTAAAGCCGGACACTCCCTGCCGACGGTCCTCCTCCGCTATCTGTGAGACAGAGCTAGACGACACGACGCCGTCTGCTGATTGTCGGTGGCAGTCTGAACGGATCGTTATTAAAAACGATCATGGCGTTGCGTTCTACATAAAATCGCGTCGGCCGCAGTAAGTGCCCGTTTTTTAATTCACATTTTAACATTAAAATCAGACCAAGAGCAGTAACACATATAGACCTACTACTGAAAAACATCCTTTCTGCTGCTTTATAATCAAATTAGTAAATACGCGTTTACCCTAGGAGCCAGACCAGGTTTTGTATGCACTTTGAGGTGCAGAGCATTTTACTTCAGAAATTGGTTCAGGTGGTCCAAGAATTATTTTGGCTTGGGGTAACACATTTTCAAAATGTGGCAAAAGGTCAAAAGGTCAGGGTGAAAGGTCAACGTTATAAGGTCCTTGTATCTCCGCAACCACAGGTGGTAGAGAGTTAAATTTGATGCCAAATTGTTCGAAACATGCATATTTATATTTGCTCTAATAGAACATTTTGCAAACAAATGACCGGAAATGACGTTTGACATGTTTCAAGGTCATAGCAATATGGTCTTTATATCTCCGCAGCCACTGGTGATAGAGTTAATTTTGGTGTCAATTTGTTCGGAACATTCATGTTTCTATTTGGTCTAATTAATGAGTTTGCTAAGAAATGACCGGAAATGCCATTTCTGACCTTTGACATATTTTATATGACCATATAATAATGGTATGTTACATCAGTTTTTAATCAAATGCCGTATTCGACTGATCGTTCTCGTTAAACCACGTCCACCTGCGCAGTGGTAAAGACTGTCGAATAGAAAACTGATAAATACTCGATAAAACAAAATTGCTGCATAGTTACCGCGATACACACTGCGTAATTAAGGCTGCTTCAGATTGTGGCAGTATGGGTTTTTCGTAAAAAAAATGTTTTCATCCAGTTTTTGAATTCTGTTAGCATACAATAATTTTTTGACTTCATTGTGGGTAAATATTATTATTTTCTAAAATTTAATCCAAATTATATTAACGCAAATGTTGTTGCTAAACTGACCAATCGGCCATTTTTTGGTCACGTGCATAATTTAACGCTTATTAACGCATTCTTGTTACGTTAATTTTCGTTGTCAACGAAGTCTATTTTATACGAACCAGCCGAATAAAAATAATAGGTCCTACTCAACGAAAATTGGTACTCAACGAAATGAACCAGTCGAATAAGCCTAAAGAAAATGTGATAGTCTGGACAGGGATTAATATTGAATCATTAAATTTTTGGTTCATATAGGTCCACGCGGACCAACTGGAGCAGTGGCTGGAGCACCAGGTAAGTCAATTTATTTATACTGTATCTTGTTCAATGAAATACTGTAACAATCTTACTTTATGATAACCAAATTATTACCAGTACCAGGAAGCACCTGTTCAATGGTCACTGTTTCTCTTTGAAAAAGGAAACTTTTGAGTTAAGTTTTGAAATACCAGAGATTAATTTACTGTAACCGTGCTTGAAGAACATTCAGTTTGAAATGAAGTATATTATATTACATAGACCTACAATTGCAATTGAGTGACCAGTTAAATATAAATATAAAATGTTATGTATGTTTACACAGGTGTTCCCGGTGTTCCCGGAGTTCCAGGAGTTCCTGGTGTCAATGGTGCACGTGGGGAACCAGGACCAAAGGGCGCCACAGGTAACAATATATTGCTCTTTCATATTCCTTATTCACTTTACTTTATGGTGTACATCGTTATCGTTGAATAATTTGAAAAAGCCCGTGGTAAAAAGAACAAAATCACAATAAAGATCTTTTAATAGCAATGTGTTGTATGGATCATGGGTTTGGGCCTGTTCCATCTGGCTTTTTGACACCCCCCCCCCCCCTTTTGCCACCCGGTTTTATCAATGTCGAAACTAAGGGACAAATTGGGTGGCTAGCCACCCCATTTGGTTGCCGTGAAAAAAATGGTCACTTGTTTTGTGTGTGCTTCTCGTGTATAAGCTATATGTTACATTGTAGTAGGCGTTTTGTTTTAAGCTTAACTTTTTTCAGATGCCACCTAAGAGCGTCTAGCCGTCTATTAATTCTCTGATGGGAACAGTTCTCTAATGGGATGGCGGAACCCCTCCCAAAACTACCCTTCCCCTTGGCACCTCTCATTATGCACCCCATGGTGCTCAATCCTAGATACGCCACTGTTTATGTTACCCGGCCTTTTGCCACAGAAGCTACAGAAGAAAGTACAGTATATTGCTACACGTTATTAGAACGAAAAAACTGATTTAAATTTGTGAATTCATTCCGGAAGAGGAACAAACAATATTTATTCACGATTGATTTCACCATATTATTCATTTTGTACTTATGTCAAACTTGCGATTCTGGCTATCCTACTCAACTTTCAGAATCTTCTGTCAGTCTAGGCGATCGACTGTAAATAGTGTAGGCCAACGACAGTTTAGTTTTATTTTAAAATAATATTAACAAAATTGTGAGAAATCGAATAGACTCCTATTGTATCTACAGGAATGAATATGAAATACATAGGTCTACATTAAGTTATTTGAAACAAAAAATGTTAATTTTATTTCAGGAACAAAGGGCGATATGGGGTCTTATGGTGCACCAGGTGTACCAGGTAAGATTACAAAACTGTGGTAAGATTAAAACCCATTTTTATCAGATAAAATGTTAGATGCATTATGACTTACCACCAAAATTAAACCACGAGCAGTTAAAATATTGAGTTTCAATTGAGTCATCAATCAATCATTTGTTTCATCTACAGTATTTTTCCTTATTTCTTTATGCCTTTAATGATATATTTTTATTTTGTTTGTTTTACGTATTCATGATTTTAACTTACCTTGTAATTCAGCAAATTTGCTGAGACTAATAATACATTATTAAAAATCTACTGTTGATCCTAAGCGAAATAAAAACACTCTATAATCACACTTTCATTTATTTTGTGTTCAGGGCAGAAAGGCGAAGCGGGTCTTCTGGGAATCGACGGTTTAGACGGTAAGATTTAATCCTTTGATTCAATGATGACGGTTTTATTAATTCCAAAAAAAAAAAAGATTAATTCAATGTTTTTGGAGATATTTCAAATTGTAACAATGTCAACGATTTTAGAAAAATATTTAAACTATACGTAGTTAAAGATGATGCCTTACGCACTCTTGCTTGTTTTTTAAAGGTGCCCCGGGAAAAGTTGGACCACCTGGCGAAAAAGGTGATTCAGGTATGTAACTAGCTGAAACTTACAGGAAAAACGAAAATTATTGGCTGATTATTATACATAATGGAATGGCAATCATATTTACCAACTAAATAATCAGGACGTGTTATTCAATATTCAATTACGCGCATGTCCCACAAACAACGTGCGTACGTTATACGTTTACGCTGTTTAATGTCCTACAACTTAGCAACAATACACAATCGGCAGGCTGTAGAGCCCACAAATGTAAAAATAAACCACAAAGTAAAAGTAACCACAAATGTAAAGACATTGTACCCACAAAATGTCAAAATAACCACAATGTAAACAATTCCCTCACAAGTGTAAAAAATATGTTTAACTACAAAATGTATAAACATTTCGCCTACAAATGTAAACATTTCCATTTTTACCTCAAATGTCAAACGCAAATGTAAAAATTAATTGTAAGATAAGTCGTTATTCGATGTATAGGTACATGTGTGCGTGAGGTTTTCTTAAACAATAAAATCCTTAAAACATTGAAAGACCCCCCTAATTAACTGCTTATAGTAGTAGTGCAGGAGCTTATGTCATTATGCTGGCAATTCATGTTTTTCCGACTCAGAATTGTATACTGACCAATGAACAATCAAGGAAAATGTTGGTGCCAATTTTTCACGATGTTAAATGGCCGCCATCTTGGAAAACAAGATGGCAGACATATTTAGGCCAAGATGGGAATATGTGGTATCATTGGAAAGAAAAGCATGCACTGATTATTTTTCCCATTACACTAATATAAATAAATGCAGTTGCAGATCGGTCGTTGTACAAAGTTTGCTGGTTTTCTCAGTTTTAATACCGATACTTTGTGTATGTTTGTAACTAGATTGATACACTGATAACATAAAATAACACAAATTCTGCTTTTATTTATGTTTTTTTCATTAATTATTATTATGTAATGTAGCACCTTCATTGTATTAAGATTTGAGAGTTTTACCACGTTAATATTACCGTGCTCATTTTGCAGTAAGCATATACATTACTACTTGAGCATAGAAATCATTAAATTCAAAAATTTGTAATCTGAATTTATACTACATACTGATTCAGAATCAGATTCGGATTTTTTAAATTTTCATTTGATTTGTGACTGAAAGTGTTTCTATCATTTCCCTTTAAAATCATGTGTCATGTGTAAACAATTTATTTTGGGTATATTTCATGGGGCAATACCAGTACATTAACTACACATCCCAACTAATGGGAAGCTATCCCCCGCTGGACACCGTCCCGATACGTCTGAGCCTAGGCTTCAGGTCCAAAACAAAATCATTTTACAGAAAAACATACGGCGACATGAAATAAGATATAGGATATGCACTTTTCTTTAATGTTTGAAAGTGCCTAAACTACGCCTCGCCGGACACCATCTCAGTACATTTTTTTAAACTTCACTGCATAATATTAATATATTTATTTTCTCAAAATTAGGAAGAGGGAGAAGCCAGGGAGGAACAAAGTGTCTATACAAGATTGTTTATTTAAACAGTAAAATAATGCTAACATTATTTTTATTTATTTTTGCTTTATTTACCAAACACAGCCATAAAATATATACATTAATTAGGCTTAACCTTCCACGTCAATGCCTGCATAAAATCTAATTAATTTGGAGTTCAGATATAACAAGTGTGTAATAAGACTGATAATTCAATAAAATTCCCTGTAATTATCGATGTTAAATATATATCTAAAATAAATATTAAATAAAATTTAAAAGAGTGTACTTCCTTTGAACTTAAGGAATGGTAAACTAATATTGGCCTGAAGTGTTCTATGTTTAGACGTTTTTGTGCATATTTTGTGTTTATCATGTAAAAAGCATTATACTCATAGTAAAGTTCAACATTTTAAGTAAACTAATCATTTATATAGTACAACCACTCCAAACCATAACTTATTTGTCTTGTTTATAGCTGTAGTTGTTGATGATTATTTCATTTACATATTGCAGTGTACCATATCCTTAAAATATTCTGGGAAAAATACTAAACAAATTAGTAAATCAAGTCAGACACATTTTTAAATATTTTATAAATGTTAATACAATAATATCTCACTTGAAGAATAAAAGATTAGACTCGAATGCTCGATAATAAAATTGTTTTGTTTGACCTTATTTGAAAATCAATGAAATGTAAATAAAGAACTGTGAACCAATAATTTCATGTTGACAAAAGCAGACCAGGTAAGATGCTGATTAAGAAAATAGTAAAAACTGGATTGTACATTACATGCTGAAATGTTGTGATAGAGATATTCCTTTTTTTGTTCGTCACGTATTGGCTTATTTTAGTCTTTATCACTCTATAATCACACTTTCATTTATTTTGTGTTCAGGGCAGAAGGGCGAAGTGGGTCTTCTGGGGATCGACGGTTTAGACGGTAAGATTTAATCATTTGTTTTAATGATGGCGGTTTTATTAACTCCAAAAAAAATTAAATTTAATGTTTTTGGAGATATTTCAATTTGTAACAATGTCAACGATTTTAGAAAAATATTTAAACTATACGTAGTTAAAGATGATGCCATACGCATTCTTGCTTGTTTTTTAAAGGTGCCCCGGGAAAAGTTGGACCACCTGGCGAAAAAGGTGATTCAGGTATGTAACTAGCTGAAAATTACAGGAAAAACGAAAATTATTGGCTCATTATTATACATAATGGAGTGGCAATCAAATTTACCAACTAAATAATCAGGACGTGTTATTCAATAGCTATATTTCGCGCATGTCCCACAAAGAACGTGCGTACGTTTCCATACGTTTACGCTGTTTAATGTCCCACAACTTAGCAACAATACACAAGGGTCGGGCTGTAGAGCCCACAAATGTAAAAATAAACCACAAAGTAAAAGTAACCACAAATTGCACGCACAAAATGTCAAAATAACTACAAATGTAAACAATTCACTCACAAGTGTGAAAATATGTTCAACCACAAATGTATAAACATTTCGCCTACAAATGTAAACATTTCCATTTTTACCTCAAGTGTCAACCGCAAATGTAAACATTAATTGTAAGATAAGTCGTTATTCGATGTATGGGCACATGTGTGCGTGAGGTTTTCTTAAACAATAAAATCCTTAAAATATTGAAAGACCCTAATTAACTGCTTATAGTAGTAGTGCAGGGGCTTATGTCATTATGCTAGCAATTCATATTTTCCGACTCAGAATTTTATACTGACCAATGAACAATCAAGGAAAATGTTGGTGCCAATTTTTCACGATGTTAAATGGCCGCCATCTTGGAAAACAAGATGGCAGACATACTTAGGCCAAGATGGGAATATGTGGTATCATTGGAAAGAAAAGCATGCACTGATTATTTTTCCCATTACACTAATATAAATAAATGCAGTTGCAGATCGGAGATATCCGCCATTTAACATGTCGTTGTACAAAGTTTGCTGGTTTTTTCAGTTTTAATACCGATACTTTGTGTATGTTTGTAACTAGATTGATACACTGATAACATAAAATAACATCAATTCTGCTTTTATTTATGTTTTTTCATTAATTATTATTCTGTAATGTAGCACCTTCATTGTATTAAGATTTGAGAGTTTTACCACGTTAATATTACCGTGCTCATTTGCAGTAAGCATATACATTACTACTTGAGCATAGAAATCATTATATTCAAAAATTTGTAATCTGAATTTATACTACATACTGATTCAGAATCAGTTTCGGATTTCTTTATTTTCATTTGATTTGTGACTGAAAGTGTTTCTATCATTTCATTTTAAAATCATGTGTAAACAATTTCAAAAATAACTTTCATCATTTATTTTGGGTATTTTTTATGGGGCAATACCGGTACATTAACTACAAATCCTAACTAATGGGAAGCTATCCCACGCTGGACACCGTCTCGGTACGTCTGAGCCTAGGCTTCAGGTCCAAAACAAAATCATTTTACAGAAAAACATACGGCGACATGAAATAAGATATAGGATATGCACTTTTCTGTAATGTTAGTGTCTAAACTACGCCTCGCCGGACACCATCCCAGTACATTTTCTTTTAAACTTCACTGCATAATAATAATATATTTATTTTCTCAAAATTAGGATGAGGGAGAAGCCAGGAAGGAACAAAGTGTCTATAAAAGATTGTTTATTTAAACAGTAAAATAATGCTAACATTATTTTTATTTATTTTTGCTTTATTTACCAAACACAGCCATAAAATATATTCATTAATTAGGCTTAACCTTCCACGCCAGTGCCTGCATAAAATCTAATTAATTTGGAGTTCAGATATAACAAGTGTATAATAAGACTGATAATTCAATAAAATTTCCTGTAATTATCGATGTTAAATATATATTTAAAATAAATATTAACATTTAAAAGAGTGTACTTCCTTTGAACTTAAGGAATGGTAAACTAATATTGGCCTGAATTGTTCTATGTTTAGACGTTTTTGTGCATATTTTGTGTTTATCATGTAAAAGCATATATACTCATAGTAAAGTTCAACATTTTAAGTAAACTAATCATTTATATAGTACAACCACTCCAAACCATAACTTTATTTGTCTTGTTTATAGCTGTAGTTGTTGATGATTATTTCATTTACATATTGCAGTGTACCATATCCTTAAAATATTCTGGGAAAAATACTAAACAAATTAGTAAATCAGGTCAGACACATTTTTTAATATTTTATAAATGTTAATACAATAATGTCTCACTTGAAGAATAAAAGATTAGACTCGAATGCTCGATAATAAAATTGTTTTGTTTGATTTTATTTGAAAATCAATGAAATTTAAATAAAGAACTGTGAACCAATAATTTTATGTTGACAAAAGCAGACCAGGTAAGATGCTGATTAAGAAAATAGTAAAAACTGGATTGTACATTACATGCTGAAATGTTGTGATAGAGACATTCCTTTTTTTGTTCGTCACGTATTGGCTTATTTTAGTCTTTATTACGGACCCTTTATGAT